AATGCAAAAAGAAAAATTAAGTTTGTTGCTCATGACAGCCAATCATGTTCCTCCTTTAATTTTCCTGTAATGCCTTGGGAGAGTCAGCTGGAGAATCTACAGTATTTGCTTTGGTCAGCAACAACAGTTCTCTATCTAGACATGTAAAGCTCAACTCTGGCCAAACCTTTTTAGTTGTTAGAGTATTTGGACTTCCACATATCGTACATGTGTGCAGCTAAGTGTGTGCTAAATTTGTATGTTTATTTTTTTTGGTAATTTGTTTTTTTGTGGTTTTTTTTTAGATTCTGATTTTTACTTTTTTTGTATAACTTTATTTGGTTCAAGCTACAGAAAAGTTTTTGAAGCTTTTTTTTAGGATTTGTATTAAAGCAGAGTTCCACAGCTCTGAAGGGATGGTTGTTCCTTCAGAACACATGCGCTGGTGATGTCCCCGACTGCTGTTCCTTAGAATATCTCTTAAACAATGAACGTCCAGAAGATATTCGTTTTACCTACAGGCAAGCTTTATTGTAAGCTTTCCTGTTGATAAAAATCAAAATGCGGGTTTACTACCATTTTAGGTTGTGGATGTGTGGAGTATTTTTGAAAAATAAGGATATAGTTTAGTGTGACTTTAGCCACTTTTCTACCAGAGCCATCTTTTCAGGTTTTGCACACACATTAAAGCAGAGCTCCACCCAAAAGGGGAAATTCCGCTTTAAGGACTGCTCCCCCGCTCCCCATTAAGGATTGGCACCTTTGGGGGGTGGATACCCGAATTTGACAGGTACCCGCTCCCACTTCCGGTCCGATCACCTAGGAGATCAGAAACGAAAGGTGTCCTCCTACCCTCCCTCCCCGCAGTCCTCTGGGACATGTAACAGGTCCCAGAAGACTACAGGACCATTCATGATGCGCAGTGCTACTTGCACATGCGCAGTGGGCACCCGACTGGGAAGCCACAGGCTATCACAGCCGGGTGCCCACACTGAAGATGCCGGCCTCCTGGACTACAGGACAGCCGGTGAAATGGGCTGCGGGGGACACACCACTGGACCGAGGTGCAGGTAAGTGGCTGTTTTTTAAAAGTCAACAGCTACAGTTTTTGTAGCTGCTGGCTTTTATTTTTTGATAGGTTGAGTGCAACTCCGCTTTAAAGCTTGAAAAATAGTTAAAAGTCCCAAACTGAATATATATTTCTGAAAGCAGAGACCCTGGAGAACAAAATGGTGGTAGTTGCAGTTTTGATAATATAATATTAGTCACATGTTTACCAATGGCATATTTTCAGTAAGGATCCACTCACGCGATTCTGCGTGTGTCACACAGGGCCAGCCCATTCACTTGAATGGGCTACCCTATGCACATGTCATCCGAAAAGAAGCTCTTGCATGTGATTTTTTTTTTAAGACTCGTCTTCCTACAATTGCCACGTGACAGTCACAGCAGAATCTCATCATATATAAGGATAATAGCATCCAAGCGCATGATGTGCTTTGTGCTGCGATTGTCATGTGACTTTGAAGCAGGGGCAGACTGACAACTCATGGAGCCCCCGGGCAATAGGGGATCATGGGGCCCCTGTGTCCTTGCCCAAACTCAAAAAAGCCTATGAAAAAGGTACCAGGGGCATCTCATGGGGCCCCCTATTGACCCCGGGCCCACGGGCAGTGCCCGAGTTTCCAAATGATCAGTCCACCCCTGCTTTGAAGTGATTCTACCCGCAATTCCAAATCGGGAAGTGTGAATGGACCCTGGAAAATATATTAAAGTTCATTTTGATTGCACACAGACACTATACAGTATATTACCCACATTTTTTGGAAAAGATAAAAGACAAAGTTGCACCAAGTAATTAGATACCAAACAGACCAAGCCTTAAAATTGGGTGTGCCTGTGAAAAGGCAACAAAAATTGCCCATAGGTGACATTTTGAAAGCCAGAGTTACTCCTGGTTCACATCTATGCGGTTTTCCCGCGGCTGCATTTGCTCGGGCAAACTGAAAGCGCAGGGAAAAGGTCCTTGCAACTTTTCAGAAAACATGGCCTGCATTGAAACCGCATACTACAGTGTGTCCCAGTGCGTGGGGGTGCCATTAGGATTCATGATGCCTCAATGCATCTCCTCATCTGCATCGCGTTTTCAGTGCAGGAAGACCTTGAATGATGACCCTATGTGACAGTATACTGTAATGACAGGTTCTCTTTATTAACCACTTGCCTACCGGGCACTTTTACCCCTTCCTGCCCAGGCCAATTTTCAGCTTTCAGCGCTCTCACATTTTGAATGACAATTGCGCAGTCATGCAACACTGTACTCATATGAAATTTTTATAATTTTTTTTCACACAAATAGAGCTTTCTTTTGGTGGTATTTAATTGGCACTGGGTGTTTTATTTTTTTGCACTATAAACAAAAAATGAGCAAAAAATTTTAAAAAAAGTTTTTCTTTGATTCTATTATAAAATTTTGCAAACAGGTAATTTTTCTCCCTCACTGATGTGAGTTGATGAGGCTGCACTGATACACAGCACTGATGTACACTGATAGGCAACACTGATGGGCACTGATAGGCAGCACTGATGGACACTGATGAGATGGCACGGATAGGCAGCACTGATGAGGTGGCACTTATGAGGTGGCACTGGTGGGCATTGATGAGGAGGTGCTGATGATGCTGAACTGAAATGCAGCAATGATGGGCACTTACTGGCAGCACTGACTGGCGGCACTGTTGGGTGGCACTACTGGGCACTGGTGGGAGGCAATGCTGGGCACTGATCATCAGGGCACTGATCATCAGTGCCCTGATGATCAGTGCTGATCTGCTCTGTGACAGTTGCTGGTTATCGGCAGTACTTTCCTCACGTTGTGACACTGTATTTACTCTGTGATCTCCTCTGTCACTGGACACAGCTGATCACGTAGTAAAAGGCCGCCGTGATTGGTCTTGCATAAAAATGCAGCATGTCTTAATTTACACATATTGGGATTTTTTTTTAGCAAAGACATGGAGAAGAATAAATTTTGTCCTAAATTTATGACGAAATTTGATTTTTTTAATTTTTATACTGGACATGTTTAATAGCGAAAAGTCAAAAATATTGTTTTTTTTTTCAAAATAGTTTTTTTTTGTTTATAGTGCAAAAAATAAAAACCACACAGGCGATTAAATACCACCGAAAAAAAAGCTCCATTTGTGGGAAAAAAGGACATAAATTTCATTTGGGTGTAGCGTTGCATGACCACGCAATTGTCAGTTAAAGTACCGCAGCGCCGTAGTGCAAAAAATGGCCTGGTCAGGAAGGGGGGGAGGGAAATCCTCTGGAGGGCAAGTGGTTGAAAAAAACTAGACTACTTGTTTAGCTTGTGACCATCAGATCATTAACTGCAACTGTTCCATTTTGTACCAGCTCCCCCCCCTTTAGATTGTAAGCTCCACAAGGAGGGCCTTCCTATTTTCTTCTGTATTTAATTGTATTGTCTCCGTTATATTGCAAAGTGCTGAGCAAACTGTTGACGCTATATAAATCCTGTATAATAATAATAATTAGACTTAAGTGTGGACATTTTGCTCATAGCATGAGTAGGTTCAGCTTGCTACTGACATTTATCCTGTCTGGGTTAACACTGTAGACCATGTACAATCTCTAAGGATATCAAACACTCACAATGTACCCGGTAACCAGACAGTATCAGATTATTGCCTGTAATATACTTAAAGCGGAGTTTTACCCAAAAGTGGAAACTCCGCTTGTTTGGCTTATCTGGTTTTGACAGGTACCGTCTCCCACCTGTGGCTCAGTTCGCCGCAGCCCTCCCACCCCCCGCTGCCCTCTGGAAAACTCAATAGGTCCCAGAGGACTGCGGCTTATTCACAAAGTGCAATGTGATTCACACATGTGCATTAGGAAACCAGCTGTGAAGCTGAAAGGTTTCCCTTAGATGGAAGCGCCAGCAGCCGACTGAAGGATCGGTCAGGGTGAGGACACTGCTGGATCACTGGACAAGTACCGTAAGTGCCCGAATAATAAAAGTCAGCAGCCACAGTATTTATAGCTGCTGACTTTGAATTTTTGGGGGTTTTTTTTTTGGGGGGGGGGGGGCAGAACTCCGCTTTAGTAGAGTAAATGTAACAGAATCTAATATATAGGTGAGCGCTGGGGATATCTGGGGAGCAGCTAGCACACAACGTGAAGGTAACAACCCCCTTGAATAGTATATGTCAGAAAGTGCAGCGCTGAAAAAAAAAAAAAAAATATATATATATATACCGTATTTTCCAGCGTATAAGACGACTTTGTAACCCATGGCAATCTTCTCAAAGTCGGGGGTCGTCTTATACGCCGGTATACGGCGTGCTGACACTTCCGAGCCGGTGTAGCCAGGGGCTTATTTGCCTAGGGCGGCACTTTTTAGGGGGGCGGCGCGGTGCCACTGCCCCCCCCTTCCAACGTAAGGGACACTAAGTACAGGGGCGGGCAGGGGGCTGCTGTTTCTTACCTGGCTCCGGTCCCAGTCCCACGATGATCCAGTCCAGGAAGCGCGGGTGCTCCTTCATTCAGTTCGGCCACTCCGTCACTCGATGTTTGCGCGGCTGTTCGGCTCCGCCTCCTCACCGGTGATTGGGCGCCAGAACTGTAACTCAGGAAAGGCACACAGGCGGCCAATCACCTGTGAGGAGGCGGAGCCGAGGGGCCCCGCGAACATCAAGTGAGGGAGCGGCCGGTAAGTGTGCCGTGCAGATGGTGCTGCTGAAATAACGTATGCTGGCTGCAGCAGCACCCTGCTGGAACAGGGGTCAGCAAGTGTCATTGGCTGTCAGTGGGAGGAATAGTGCCCCATCATTGGTGTCACTGATTCTAATGATGGGGCATTATTCCTCCCGCTGACACCAACAATGGGGCACTATTTCTCCCCCCTCTGACACCAAAGATGGGGCACTATTTCCTCCCCCCCACTGACACCAAACAATGGGGCACTATTTCTCCCCCCTCTGACACCAAGGATGGGGCACTATTCCCCCCCCCACTGACACCAACGATGGGGCACTATTCCTCCCCCCCACTGACACCAACGATGGGGCACTATTCCCCCCCAACTGACACCAACGATGGGGCACTATTCCTCCCCCCCACTGACACCAACGATGGGGCACTATTCCTCCCCCCCACTGACACCAACGATGGGGCACTATTCCTCCCCCCCACTGACACCAACAATGGGGCACTATTCCTCCCCCCCCACTGACACCAACGATGGGGCACTATTCCCCCCCCACTGACACCAACGATGGGGCACTATTCCCCCTCCCCACTGACACCAACAATGGGGCACTATTCCTCCCCCCACTGACACCAACGATGGGGCACTATTCCTCCTCCCACTGACACCAACGATGGAGCACTATTCCACCCCCCACTGACACCAATGATGGAACACTTTTCCTTCCCCCACTGACACCAATGATGGGGCACTATTCCTCCCACTGACACTAATGACGGGGCACTATTCCTCCCACTGACACTAATGATGGGGCACTATTCCTCCCACTGATACCAATGATGGGGCACTATTCCTCCCACTGACACCAAGATGGGGCACTGTTCCCCCACTGATACCAATGATGGGACACTATTCCTCCCACTGACACCAATGATGGGAGATTATTCCTCCCACTGACACCAATGATGGGGCACTATTCCTCCCACTGATACAAATGATGGGGCACTATTCCTCTCACGGACACCTATGATGGGGCACAATTCTTCCCACTGACACCAGTGCTGGGGCACTATTTCTCCCACTGACACTGATGGAGTATTATTCCTCCCACTGACACTAATGATGGGGTACCATCATTGGTGTCAGTGGGAGGATAGTGTCCCATTATTGGTGTCAGTGGGAGGAATAGTGCCTCATCATTGGTGTCAGAGCAAGGAATTGTGCCCCATCGTAGGTGTCAGTGGGAGGAATAGCACCCCATCATTGGAATACCATACTGAAATACCATACCATATTGAAATCAAATCTGATGTTTTTTAATTTTTATTTGGTGTGCGTTGGAAGAGGGGTAGTCTTATATGGCGAGTGTAGCCCAAACCCTATATTTTAACAGGAAAAGTAAGGGGTCATCTTATACGCCGGAAAATACGGTATATATACATATTGCGGAATGGTAAAGTGCAACACATAAAAGTGCAAAAAAAAAATTTGTAAATCTAAAAATCAAACAATATGGTAACGTGCATCATAAATGTAATGAGCTGAGTGAATCAAGTAAAATCATGAAAATATCAGCTAAACAGCTCAAAAAGAAATTGGCAAACAATAAAGTGTATCACGGGCAGAATCTAAATAGAATAATGTCCGTGGTGATCCGTGAATAAAGTGCAGTAGTAAACGATGTTACAATAAACATATAAAATATTAGATATATAAATAGGATAAAACTCGACATCAATGTCCGTGGTTAAACGTGCTATTTATGTAGTCAAATGTCCATAAATGGAAGTAATTGTCCGTAAAATCATAAGGCGCAGTATGATAAAGGTGCAGAGTGCAAATGTACTGATGATCACACAAAAGAATCTACCACCTCTCTCGGATGTACACTCACCAGATGAAAACTGGTAACAGGCAATCAAGCATTAAAAATCTGAGAATGGAAGGCGGCCAAAGGGTTAAACTGGGCCAAATTCTTCTTGGACACTCGGATGGGAAGTCAGCCCTTGTCCAAGATGGCCACCGTTACGACCATCGGCGGCAGCGGCGTGACGTCAGCAAATGGCGGCTCTATCCTCAGGGGTACGCCTATGCACAAGAAACCCGTTGGGTGGAGCCACCATTTGCTGATGTCACGCCACCGCTGCCGATGGAGTATAGGACAACTGTTTTTTTTGTTGTTTTTTTTTTAATCAAAGATTAGTTTTATGCCAATGCTGCCATACCCCTATATGCGAGGAGTGATTTTTAATGATAGGTCTGCTTTAATGTCACCCTTAATCTTAAAGAGTAACTCCACTTTTGTGAGAAAAAACATGTTATTTCAGATTCCTATCTGTTTCTGCTGTGAAGAAAAAGCTATATGTTCAACCATATCCTTGAAATACTGATTCCGGAATGGAGTGTCTGTGTTTAGTCTAATCAGCCGATGCACTCTGTGTTCCAGTGAGGAAATTGGCAGGGTCTGCATTCCTGCGATTAACCCTTTGGAAGCATCTAACCAAAAATGAAATTTTTGTTGCAGAGGATGCCTAAAATATGACTTGTATCTTAGTGCAGTCTTCCTGGAAAAATCAGTGAGCCAATCACACAAGCAGGAAATTACATTTTTAGAGGCGTTCTCTATACCGTCTGTGTACAGAACACCTCCGGTTTGCCATATTATACAGAAAATCACAGCATTGCAGATTGAAAAGGAAAGGTAATTTTTAATAATATTTAATTTTATATACTATATTTTTTTTTTCATTTGCTATATTGTTTAAACACAAAAGTGGAATTACCCTTTAAGGGGCATACGCATAAATCAGTGAATATGACATTCACTGCAGGTGCATTTTCCTAGTGCATGTTTTAAAAACAAGGAGTGATTCACCACCAGGGAGTATCACATTCACCTCTTTATAAATTTCACACGAATGCAAGAATTGTTGAAAGAAAGGAGTTCAATGCTAAGTGGGAATGGACCTGTCCTAATTAGACGCTCCCATGATAGCTTGTGTCCTGTGTATTTTATCAGGCTATTTGATTGCCTATGTTGTGCCTTCTTAATAGGAAACAGAATGTGTATCTGGCGGGTCCTTATTGCTCAGTCATCCAGAAGTTCAGGTCAGTTATTGATAGGCAGACTCATGTGCTCTTCACATTACCGGCCCATTATGTTTACTTCAAGACCAGAATTCCAGGTATAGTCAGAGCTGCCAACTCAAGATGTATTTTTTTTATCGACAAAGGCCAAAAACACGATGGGCTACTAACGTGACTATTACGGTATGGAACCGCGCAGTCAGAGAAAGGTCTCATTTTTACCCCAGCGCTTTACTAGTAAATTGGTAGGTTGCCCTTTAGATCTCCAAACTACAGCACAGGGGCCAAATATGGCCCACTGCAAGATTTTATGATGTAAGAGGACACTCTGATAGGAATCCTAATGTAAGTTGGGACTGTGATGTGGACTCTCATGTAAGTGGGGATTGCAATGGGAACTGCCAGGTAAAGGGGAGGACTCTGATGTAAGGGTGACTTCAATGTAAAAGGGACTTTGATGGGGACTGTGATGTGAGAAGGGTCTGGTTGGGTTATTGATGGAAGGGTGGACGCTGATGGACTAAAGTTTGTTTGAAATTTCTTTGCTTTGCTTTACTGATGTTTTGCTTTTCTGTTGTTCTAAATCAGTGGTCTCCAAACTGCAGCTCAGGGGCTAGATGTCACCCTTGGCTTGGGGCACTATTCCACCAACTGACACCATCTATGGGGCACACTGTTCCACCAAATGACACCATCTCTGGGGCACTATTCCACCAACTGACACCATCTATGGGGCACTGTTCCACCAACTGACACCATCTATGGGGCACTGTTCCACCAACTGACACCATCTATGGGGCACTATTCCACCAACTGACACCATCTATGGGGCACTATTCCACCAACTGACACCATCTATGGGGCACTGTTCCACCAAATGACACCATCTCTGGGGCACTATTCCACCAACTGACACCATCTATGGGGTACTATTCAACCAACTGACACCATCTATGGGGCACTGTTGCACCAACTGACACCATGTCTGGGGCACTATTCCACCAACTGACACCATCTATGGGGCACTGTTCCACCAAATGACACCATCTCTGGGGCACTATTCCACCAACTGACACCATCTATGGGGCACTATTCCACCAACTGACACCATCTATGGGGCACTATTCCACCAACTGACACCATCTATGGGGCACATCTATTCCACCAACTGACACCATCTATGGGGCACTATTCCTCCCACTGACAGCATTGATGGGACACTATTCTTCCCATGGACACCAACGATATGGCACTATTCCTTTCATTCAAACCAATGATGGGGCATTGCTTATGCCCACTGATGTTGGGGCACGCTCTATCCCCCCTTAAGTCTGAAGAACAGACCCCTGTTCTAAATGATATTATACTGATTGCAAAAAACGCCAAGTAAAAAACGTATCAATTCATTTCAATTTGATTTGTTCATTGATAAAACTGATTTTTACGGCCCATGGATTATTGTAAATTTTTGATGCGGCATTCATACTGTAACTTTTGGAGACCGCTGCATTAGAGCAAAGGTTCCCAAACTTATTTGGACTAATGCCTCCTTTCCAGAAAAAAAATACTCAGGGCCCCCCTAGAAATTTACCTTTTTAAGCAAACAAAATGATGCAGTGACAAGTTTGCAATCTTTTATGTATTTGTATTTCTACCTAGAGGAAATATGAATGTAGATGTACTTACTTGATACTCCATTCCTCCCTGCACAGAACTGGTCCCTGCAGCTTCTGCACCACTCTAGCGGTCTTGAGTCTTGACATCATCAAACCCAGAGCAGCGCCCATAGTCCTCCTCTGGATGTTAGGACACAAGGAACAGTCCACCACTGGATCGTAGGGGAGTGCCATTTGCCAAGGTAGCAGAGGATAGTGTGAGAAAAAGATTTTCTCATCTCCACTGGACAAGACGAGCACTTAACCTTTGCTGTGCAGGCACAGCCCCACTGCAAGGGATCTATTATTTTTACCAGAGTTGGGCTTTAAAACTTGTCAACTTAAGCACTGATTGGTTATAACTTGCATTTTGTGGGTTTATTTGGAAAAGAAAGTAATCACTACAACTCTGACTCTTTGTCACACAAGAGATGAAGCATGTTAAACAAAATTCTTTCTTTATGCTTCCACTGCCCCCTTATTTTTATTCAGTGTCCCCCAATTGCACCCAATGCTACTACCGGCCCTCTGGATAATTCCAGCAACCCCCAAGAGGTGGTATTTCCCACTTTGGGAAGCATTGCATTAGAGCACACTGAAGATTCCCATTACTTGGGGAAGTGCCACAGAAAAAGTGCTTTAAGCAGTGTCCCTGTTCTAAATTCAAAATTTACAGCTAGGCAGAAGTCAGCTTGAGCTTGTTTGTTAATGTTACCTGGGCTTGTTGAGTTTTCCCTAAGACCAGTACATTGCTTCTGCCTGCTACTGGGGAGTGTTCTCTAGTAAGCAGATTGAAAAGATAAAATGTTATAGGTTATGAATATTTATTTCACACTGACCAATCACTAAGAGGATTATGCCTGTGATGTGAGCCTGGAAAAAGAAAATATATATTTGTGGAGACTTTCTTGAAGGCTCTTCCCTCCCAAGTTTGCTTGG